ACGAGTATTGTCTGAAACCGACTAAAGATGACAAATAAATTTCAGTAGTAGGTTATGAAGATTATTGGGTATCATTGGGATAGTGAACCTATCGATGTTAGATCACCATTAAAAGTATCGAAGTATTGATCAACCGTTTCGTCCTAGTGTTGAACTCAATAGCAATGCGCATCCACAAACCTGGATGCAAGAATCAAACTCAGGACCTTCAGTCTTGCGCGCGAACGCTTAGACTTCAGACCACCGAGCTGGCATCCAACGGTTTTAATTTATAACTTCAGTCTGTCGCTTTGCAGTGTTGGAGTCTCTAAAAGTCAAGCTGATAAAATAACACACTTTAAAAGTTTGCAATCAATTTATCTTAAAAACCCCTTAAATTCTACCATAATGATATTTGATTCGTGTGAGAGACAAAAGAAAGGAGGGAGAGAAACTGTCGTAATCACGTAATAAGGGCACCATTTTACTTTTTGAAACCAAAACTACACAGAACACTAAGTGATGTTTTTTGTACGGAATAATTGCAAACAACGGTAGTTATGCATTAGATTAAATATTGAAAAATCTTTTCTCAAGGTTATTATTAGTTATCATGTACTTGACAATATTGTGATTATAATAGTTATTTACGTTTATCTTACTTCTTCATCCATAAATCAGCGAGACGTTTCCCACGAAGTATTTGTCACATTATACAGTTCACCTATAATTTAATTCGTGGAATATCATTGTGGGGTAAAACGAGACTAAATTAAACCGAACTAGAACACACCTTCCACACACACACACACACACACACACAATGTTGAGATTATTCATATACTATAAACGAGGTGCATGTGTAATACAAACATTTATTATTAAAAGAAAACAACTTGTGGCGAAAAAACATGTTTATTTAAGTGTATTCGACTGATTATTGAACTAGACAGAGACAAAACAAAGAAACAACAATCATTTAGACTGATAGCTGAGTAGAAACGAATTATTTCAAGAACGAAAAACGTTGAATCTGTAGACTGATAATATTGCCAAATAATTGACCATTTTATCTATTTACCACGTTGAGAAATGCATTAATTCTATGATAATGATAACCACCGTTCTTCATCGCTCAATAAGAGTACACTATTTAGCAGTTTCGAGCGTCTTCCCGTACATTTACTGAGTGAGTGTTGGCATATTAGAGTGTAAATTTCACTGGGGACATTCCTTTCATCATCTTAGAGTAATCTATACATATGTCTGTTATGAACAAACCACTGCAGTGCATCTCAACTTGTCGAACGGAAAATGCAAAACAAAATAGGTGAAGATTAGAGCTTGAAATGATATCTTCGGTGGAAATTGTGTTGTTACATGTAATATTCATTGCTAACTAAACGAATGAGAAAATGCTTAATATTCCATATCAATCAAATGTTGAGTGGGAACAGATTCACGAATACGTATCTTATTCCTAGTTCTTAAAATATTTTAGTTGAATTAAACACCAACATGGAATTTTCCTCAAAAGGTGTACATTTCAGGAAGATTTTTCGATCATATGCGTGTAATTGTTGTAGCTGACTACTAGTAGTTTGAAATTCATACAACCTTAGTAGCTAATCAATTATTAAAAACATCTTCATTTATTTGGTTAATGAATACGTATATCATGTTATTATAATGGAGTCAAGAAAACTCACATAGATACACACACACACCACGTACAACTAAGTTACAATTCACTCATTTATTTTCCACTGTTAGAAAATAATACCTATTGAAGGGGTAAAAAGGAATGGTAAACAGTTAACTACTTACTTTTGAAGTTATTTTTATAAATTGTCGTTGTTTTTTCTACTGTCAAAACGGATGCCGACATTCATAAAATTACTCTACAGTGTAAGAGTGATGAAATTTTTTAGTATGCATTTTAATGTAATACCCAGTTGATCTTTTTTTCAATATATGAACCCTAATTATATTCTTCCGTTGTTGTCATAGATTGTTTGTTACTCTTATCTGCCCCTTTCTCTTCCTCTCTTCTAGTCTTTTTGTCTCCGCCTCTCTATGATGCATACTTCTAATATATTTGATGTTATTTATGATACACAATGTGACTCTCACTTACTGGTCATTGGACTTACCTGCCTATTCCACTTTTGATAAAATGATCCTATTTATTTCCTATTTTCTTGCTTGTTATGTTATTATCGATATTAACTCATTTTCCTATTATCCTTTAAGTGAAAAAAACATTGATATGGAAATAACTATACTTATTTGGTTTTTAAGTAGTATATTCGGTTAGTATTATATTATTGAAGGCAAAATACAATGTGAGATCTGGTACTCGCTCACTCACCCACAAAGAGACACACATATGTATATATGGTAGCCGTTCAGTTTATCAAAGCATAGTGATAAATTAAAGAACTGTACGGACACAATAAAGTAGTGAATTGAAACCAATCGACAAACAAGGGAAATAATTACAGAACGAAGAGTCGATACACGTCTATTGTATAATAGTGGCAGTCTGTCTAATGTGCTTGTCTGTGTTTGTGGAGAATCGGTTGTTAGTTTTATTATATATACTGCAGGTTTGACAACCGATGCATGAAACTGTCAAATGTTTGTTTTGAAAAGAGTGAAAAAATCATACTTTCAATTCGAAGCACATATTCACCGAAAAAAACTTAAATATGGCTCCATCTATTTTCTTATTTTGGTCGTTTTTGAGTTCACATTAATCACCCAATTTACTGCTCTTATTTTGACTATAACTCTATTTTTCTCTTACCTTGTGATTGTTTTGACAAATATTTGTATTCAAAGATCAAAGTTTTGAATTCAGGTGAAAGCGATATGTTAGATGAACTGTGGGAAACAAATAGCAGTACTGTTTCCCAAATGAAAACGTAGGTTTGTACTGCATTCTATTCGACACGTTACTGTCGCTATCTTTTTTTCACTTGAAAATATTTCTGTAGAAATATTAGTGATATGAATGCGGACATATATACATACACGCAAACACATTTGGTCGTCAGTATGTGGGCTGGTAGGAGTTGCAACGACTATTGAATAGATTTTTTCTATCGCATCCATGAAGACAAAAGCGTAATGGTAATGATCATAATAATATGATATGCGTATCTATCTGACGCATATACAAACACTTACCTAGACTTGTGCTGGCATCCCATCAATACGTCGTTGCAGAGTCGTAGTATAATATTCATTTGAAATAATGTGATTATTTATTTCTACCCTTTTTTAATGGTAAAAACAGTATTTAACTTGACTTAATGCTACCGATGGACTATTTGGAAAATACGTGATGATAAATTGTGTTAGCTAGTTGGGAACTGTCGGCAGAAAACTCTTCCCGACCTATATATCAGCAATGTGTACTCTCTATCTTTAGGAAACTAATACCAACTGTGGAATTCGGCCTCGGATCAATCGACTTTACAGTTTGAGCTGCTACCTTGATATCGTGATTAGATTTGGCTATCATACTGAACTAGTCGAGCTATTTTGGTCGTAACGATTGTTCTTTTATATGATACCATGCCAGGCAGATCTTTTATGAAACTGTAACAGTAAAAGCACTGAACTCATGGTTCAAGAGTAAAGTTTTATCCACAACTGTACAGTGATGCAATGGCAGTAAGATATATTCCTCAAACAATCAGCATCTACAACGATTCTGTCTTCTCATAACATAAGGAAGGGGTTAGGAAAAGTCGACCCTAATCATGTCACCACCCTATACCATGAATTTCCGTCTCCTGCTTTAAGGCTGTTTTAGGCACGAAGCTAACACATAATGGACTTCTCACACAAAGGCTATCTGTAACTGGTTTAAAATACTTATTCTTTGAGCTCTGATGTTCAACAGTTTCTTTTTTCAAATGTTATTTTGAAATTGTCGTTTAGTTGTCAAATAGAATTGGACATTACGTCACGTTATTCAGTACAAAATATATTTGCAGAAAATTAGTCGCGTTTGTTTTAATATTGTCGGTTTACCACAATTCCACCCAAAACAGTTTGTTCGTAGTTCACAGATTAATAGGTGAGCTGATAAAGTAGAGATTACTTACATAAATGATAACTTTTACGTATGACACACTTTTATCGATATAGCAACAATGATGGCTTGTTTATAATTTTATCTCGATAACACTTCAGTAAATTTACCAACAAAGATTTTGTAGACGATGATAAGTTTTCAGTAGAACTGTTTGTAACTATTGAGAGGATGTAGAAAGAAACTTTTAGCTAGGATAAATTCACACTTGGATTAATGAGATAATAATGTTGGCGATATTTCTATAATATTAAGATTAGAAATTTAGTAGTACGTTTTGAAAAATCAACAAACTCTCAAAAATCACTGAACTCTGACAGGCTTTTTTCATTTCTGTTGCAAAAAAAGTAGCTTTAAAACCATACAGTCATTTTAAGCGTTCGCCCGCAAGACTGAAGGTCCTGAGTTTGATTCCTGCATGTGCACTGCTCAAGAGTCTTATACTAGGACGATAGGGCCATTCAATGCTCCGCTAGTTTTGATGGTGTTGTCTAACATCGATCGGTTCATGATTTTAGTGGAATTTTAAGTGTATTTGGTTAACCTGTTGTATGCAGTCGAACCGATGAGGTACGAGAAAATTAATAGCGCAAACATAGAAATAGGGTTAAGAATTAGTGTTAGGATTAAGTGTTAATTGTGAACTGATATCAGCGTTAGTTATAAAATCGTATTCTTACCCTTATTTCTAGCATAATAAATCATTCATCTTCTCCTACTTCTGACCGGGCGAAACAGTTCAAATCTCAAGGTCGTTCAGATGTACACTTTCGGTTTCCCGAATAGCTCAAGCTCATCCCTATTCTAAATTTTCCTTACTGAATGTACTTAAGTGTTTTCTAGTGCAAGTGATTAGTTATCTTACACTATTATAAACTACGATTCTTTTTTATCTTCCGTAAAAATTTCTTTCTAGGTAAAATTGTCTGGTCTGTTCAGGTGTATGAGTTAGTACAAGTTGAATTTCCATCCATATTCATGCATTCTATCGAGATTCTTTCAGCAGTATCGTCATCATCATCCAATCATGATGTAAAAAATCAACAGCTTAATTCAAATAATCGGCATCAACTTCAGGAGCGGCATAATGAATTATGGCGTAAGGTGAATTCTTCAATTACACTTCTATGTGCAAGCAATATTCGTCGATTCAGCAATGATAATAACGATGTTCTCGATCGATCTGGCATACTTTGGTTTAATTCAAGTCGATTAACTGATGGTTATGGTATTCAATGGAAGAAAAATGGTGAAATTTTATCGGAAAAACTATTTCGAATGAATCCCAGGTAATATATATATATATATATATATATATATATATATATATGGTTTGATTGAGCTGTCACTCGTTCTGGAGAGCATCATTACCACTTGCTTCATGCAGAATAGAGATTTTTCAATGGTGCAGGTGCATCCACTCTCTGTGTTCTCCCAAACTCTAATCTTCTGTATTCTTCATGTCCTTTATTTTCTTTCCAAATCTATTCCACTGGACTATACTGCTTAAATAACATCATCAAACCCTAATGTTCCTATCACTACCTCTTCCACCACGGGATTTGAATCGATAACTGAATCTCTGTGCTAATGTGGTATGGCAACTCAAACTGATGTACGTACGTACGAAGTTCCACGTTGTTACTGACTGACTGACCTGAATTCCATGTTTTCATACATTTATCTTGCATTCTCAGTTTTTTCATAATGTTGAATTTCGACCATCTGTCAGACGAATTCATGTTCGTAGTTGTACACATGCATTGATATCAGCGATAACATATCCTGTCGTTCCAATGGAAGATTGTATTCGTGTATGCGTAAATGAGGGATGTTCAGTTTTTGTTCAGTGACGTGTTTGTTAAATCTGGCACAAATTATTTTGTGAATGATACTGGATTTATCTTTCGTTGTTGTATCTTTTGATCTGCCTAAAATGATGTGAAGTGATTGTGTTTGATTTATGAACGAGATTGATTTCGAAAGGTTTAAAGATTCTGATAGTGATTTTTGAGATGTCTTACACACGAAGCAACAATGAAATCTCCATGGTTCAACTAACAAACTTATAGAACTCAACAGCACTTAAAGCATCCAGCTGAACTGCAAATTTTCATCAATTCAATTAGGGGTTCTTTCACGTTTTTTAATGCATGTTTGCAGCTGTAAAGCTTCCATTACGTCATTTTCAATATCGATTGTAAAACTAGGCGAAGTTTCATTGCTAAAATTATTTTTGTAATTCAAAATCATTTGACTTTTTCGTAATAATTTTCTCCTCCGTTCTAGAAACTACCGTGTTTTACTGTCAACAAGACGTTGAGTTTATGGATCAAATCTTGTTGTAAATCATTTATTAAGTTATTCTGAGAATCATTGTGGCTATGTTACAAATTAACTTAAGTAGGACTAGTCCCATGACTTATATTTCTTGTTCTCATTTGGTATTATAGCCTGTGGGTTATTATGAAGAATCGCAATAACAAGTCACTCTGACTTGGTGACTACTTACAATTTATTGAGACTCTCTTCACAAAGTCGAGACAATGTGATATACTCTCAGTCAAAATGACTGAAATGATGAGCGAAATACTTCAAAGAAAATAACTTATCTGTTCTATGTCTATTGATTTTTTAAAAACAACCCTAGAACAAGAGATTGAAATGAACCTACTCTGACGCCCAATGAAGCAATAAATTCCGTTTCTATTCTAAAAAAAGCACTGGTATTTCACTGATCCACTTTGGGGATCCCTAAGAATAGTTCCCCAGTTTTAATGGTTAATTTGACAGATGTGTTAGCTAAAATATCAAAGCTAGATATAATTCCATAATACTGGTTTCGATCGCTAGATATCTTAGTTTACAAAAAACGGTTAGAATTCTCTTATGACAATCACAGAGAATTAGGTTGAACAGGAAATTCGGCTAAACTAGGCTGGTTTCAGACCCAGACGTGGATATTAACTATTTATCTGGTATTAGAACTCTATTGACAGAAAAATCTTTTCACACTGTTCGTCATTGAAAGGCTTAGAAGAGAGGTTCAGTAACCGTTTGAAGGCTCTTTACTACTTTTTAGTGTAGAGCATGTAGCGAACGATCATTAAAACTGTCAACCTCAGGTGTTGTTCATCAAGGCTGTACACTTTCTTCATCTAACTTTTCAGAAATTGGTCTCCTTCCACAATGTTCACTTATCGATTTCGAATATATAGATTGCTTAGTCTTATTTCGGTGGAAACGGTGACAAAATACAGAATCTTTTGATCGCCATAAACACCAATCCTAACATGTTTGATCAACATCTGCTAAACTATTGATAGGGAGTAAAGTAGCTACACTTTTTATTTAAGAAATAATGATGTCTTTGCCTGACAGCTTAAATGAATTGATTTAGATCAGGTGCTTAGAACCTTTAGTTGAAAGCTGAATGCTTTTTGTTAAAGTTTTAATTCCGTGAGGAAATGTGGACACGAATAGCCAAGATGACGTAACAGAAAGATTACAATACTAGATTACGTAATACGAATAATAACATTAGATTTAATGAATATAATAAGATAATGAAATTTTTTTGTTACAATAATTAAAGGCCATAGAAGTGTAAAAATAAATATGGTGATATGATGAGTATTTATGAATAAAATAATGAGAATATAAGACATAAGTAAGGGAGAATACAGTAATAATAATAAAATATCATGCAAACTTCAGAAGACTGGAGTTTGGCTGCTTACTAATCACCTTAAAGGATTATAAAGTATCTACCTGATGTCCTGTATCAGGGAGATGTTTGGTAATTGCACTGTTTAGTCTTTCTTTTCCTTGTTCTAAGAATTTTTGGAACATGTTCAAAAAATCTAAGATATGCCCTCCTTTTTGTTCGGCCAATATAGCTGCTTTGGCAGATACACGTAGATTTATAAATACAGTTAGTGGTAACATGAAAGGGTTGCTTGTCGACCTTTGATTGAGTTATTGAACATGTTGTTTTATAGAGAATTAAAAGTTTAGCCGCCGGATAATTTCTGTCTATTTTAGTATTCAGTCTCCTGTTGATTATATGTGTGACATCATCACCTTTGAGGCCAAAGTAACGATAACAATAAGACGTACTTCTTTTGTACGCATTCGTGTTCACATTAAATTAAAACGGAATTAATGTTGAATAAAAATCATAATAAGTATGTGTGTATGTAATTTATCCTATTCCCTGCACAATATATATTTTTCTTCGGCTTACTTTTTTTTTCTTTTTAACTTGAGTATTTCAAGTTAGAACTTGATTTATGTTGTACTATAATGATTTCCATACAGTCTGACCTATACATATCTAGTATCGTTTCTTAATTTCCTCTTTATCAGAAAGCTGATTTATTCTCCATCATATTAGGTTATAGCTAATGTTATCTAACCCAAGGATATGTAGTTCATACTCCTTAAAGTTATTTTATATCAAATTTTTAAGTGTTATAAACATTAAACACAGTTAATGAATGCGTAAAGCATACTTAAGTGGAAACTTTTATTTTTGTGTATAGTGGTTCGATATTTTTTTTGTCTCTCCTTTAAGTATCTGTTAATGACTAAAAAGTTTTTTTTTTAATTACTATTATTGTCACTATTAGTGATGTTCATGTTTTCCAACTACTATTTGTCTATCTTGTACTCCAACACATACACACACGACATTTTGTACATTACGTTGTTTTCAATGTGTTACATTTGAATTAGGTTTTCAACAAGATTTCGGTAGTAATAATTGTTGCATACACTTACCTACCGAAATATAGAACTTGGTGATTTTCTTTCCATTCGAAAGGTTTATGAAGCAACTAGCTATAGACATTTTTGTTGAGGTCAGGGTGGGTGTTAACCTCTTTATTTCACTTATCTCTTCAAAGTAGTTGGTGTTATTTCCTATGTATGCTGATTGTGAGAATTGTAACTGCTGTTATTTTCATTTATTTTATTCGTAATGACAATAAAATTCTCGATAGTGTTAGTTGAAGGATTGTTGTTTTTTTAAGATGTAAGTTGTCATGGTGTATGGTGTAACATATTTGGTTAACGTGAATAAATATATATAAGGTGTTTGGTATTAAAGAGTGCTTTAAGCTGAAATTCAGCTGAAACGAAAGCAAATTCTATACATAATAGCAAATCATTCAAATACTGTGTGTGTCCTTCCGTATATTATTATTATTTATTTAAGCACATTAACACTTATTCAAAGAATCACCAAAATATATATGCTCATAATACAAATCATTGAGTTTGTGATAGGTCTGGGATACTGTTCGTGTGCCAAAACCGAAGTAAGTACTTCACGTAGAGGAAGAACTCTCCGAGCCCTTGATTATATGATCTAATCCACAAGACAGTGTCAGTCAGTCAGCTACAACGTAGGACCAGGCACATATATGCATCCGTCCAAGTTGCCATACCGCATTAGCATAGCAAGATGAACACTGGGTTCATAGACGTAGTTACTTTAATGGTGGTAATATATAGAAGAAAGATTGCATATAAAAGTATAGTACAGGAAGAAAGAATTACTTCGTAGAAAGAGAGATATGAAGTGATTTTAATCTCTTAGTTTAAGGGAAGACAGTTAGTGTATACACCTACGCCATTGTGATCGATTCTGAGCCATGTCACCCAGTGTCCAACCATTGGTTACGATAGTCACGCGGACCCCAACCAAATAGTCTACATCTACCAATATGGCTCAGACTAGAAGTTAGTGTTTTCAAGCACTGATGCCACGTTTTGGTTTGGCCGCCCCTAACGCAAGACAGTGTAGTAACGTTAGAAGATGAGGTCTCATGATAGCCGGTGATCAACAATAGTTTCATACATTATTTGTTTCCTCAGGATTGTAGAGTCCATGTGCAACACTAGTCCTGAATTAGGGATCTCCAACTTCTCTAGGTGGATGCGCCGTACCCACCAACTGGGTTTAAGCTTCCTCCAGATAGTTGCTTCCTGTCCTGTCAAGTTCGTAAACAACATCCCTGATGTGAGAAGGTAGTAAGCGAGACTTTTCTGGCGGTGGCTATATATGTGTAACCATGTGACGAGGAACTTACTGTTTACTAATATTTAGTGCTCACTTTTAGAATAAATAGATCGTTGCCAGTAGTGAAATCAAGTGTTTCGCATTTCTTACTATTTGTGACCTATTAGCTGAATGTATCATGTATCCTTAGTACTAAGATGTTCACATTAGGACTCAACCCCAGTATATATCAAGGTAATCCGTAATGGATCTATAAATATTAACAAAAGTCAATCGAAATTCAGCCCTGAATATCAAAAACGGGATAATTTCAAACTTTATAATGATATAATTGGTCTGCCTGTTGCTACCTGAACTCAATAGCTCAATAAATAGCGCATTAGGCGTTTGCGCAATAGATACTACGTCCGAGTTCTAGTGCGGTGATCATCCAAAATCCAATCTATTTTTGTTCGGCTGATGGGTACCAAGTAGGGTGGAACGCTCATTCTAAATCGTACTGTTAGATACAATCCATCTATTTTATGCAAAATGGCTGTCAAAACAATCTGTGCAGGGTTGTGTACTTATGCCAACAAAGACTGATTGATTAACATGCAGTTTTCAATATCTACAACGAGACCATCGGAATCCTTCATAATTCATAGAAAAGAAGACTTCAGATGTATTTTGGTTGTTTCTTCAATTTTGATTATTGTATAAAATCGTTATTTTCCCATTTAATGAATCTAACCTTCTTATTAGTTGTCTCAGTTTTTTCAAAAATTTATAAATTCATCTATTTCCCTCATTGATTCTAGCCGTTTTCGTATAATTGGAAGTGCTAGCCTTTTGATAACTAATGCACAACTTGAAGATACTGGCATTTACTCATGTCAAGCCGTAAATTTCATGATGAATTCCGTCTTGGATGAAACATCTATTCAATTGATTATTGGTAATTCACCCGTGTTAATGAATGCTTCATCGACTGAATTGCAGGCAAAATTACATGTAAGTTAATTGCTGGGTAACTTTTGCTTTTGTAGGGAAGAGGACGAATAATTTGTGCATTGTAGACTGTAATTAAGTGAGGTGCATAGCTGTGACTGGTGTTGTGTTAAAATGATAGATATGATAAAAAGAAGTCGACTATGGTTCACAATCTATAGATCGTGAATTGATCGACATTTAAAATGCGAAGCATTGGGTGCTGGATCAGTAATTTAAAGGTAATAAACCGAACCTATGAACTCTGTGGATTCAACCTTTAACAGGATTGTGCGTATTGATTAATCTCTTAGGAAGAAAAATCTATCAAGTTCTTTTTTTGGTTCGTAATATGTTTCTTGATGAAGTTCTATGAAATTAAGATTTTCAATGTGGATAAAAGTAATTTAAAATTGTATAACATTTTCTTGGCTGGATGTTTAAAGACAGTTTTCTCATAGTTTAAATCATAAACTGATCTTAACTAGACTGTCATTGAAAACTTAGGTTGGCAATTATACATGGATAATATCAGCATCAATCCAATAGACATACGTTAATTATAAACTGAACCCTATATATTGTACAGCCCATGAACTTTCACTGAAGAATGAGTATAATTTGAGGCAGTGCTTACCAAGTCCGAATCCATAAAAAACCAAAAACAGTTTAACCGACCCATGTATTAACGATAAAAGAACTTCGACTCCTAAAACTATAACAGTTAATTTCTAGACCGATTTAATACTTGAAAATTGCAGTTTAGAATGGTTGGTACTTGAGTTTATGCACATGTATGCTATACTCTACATAGTTAGCTTATAACCAACTGAACAATTAATATTCAAATAACTTGATAATATGAGGGATTCTTTAGTATTTTGTAAACAATGACTGCTAGATGTATACCACCGTAAGAGTATTAAGACTGCGAATAAATTCAACCAAGAAATTCTTAATTTTTTGTATGAAAACCTGTATTATATATGTATATTGACGGGTTGATCAACTTTGAAATGCTCTGATACGGTCAAGGGTGGGAATAGTCCACTTTCCCTCTCTAAATACTCTTATATGGCCACGTATATAGCCACTGCCAGAAAAGTCTCGCTTACTACCTTCTCACATCAGGGATGTTGTTTACGAACTTGACAGGACAGGAAGCAACTATCTGGAGGAAGCTTAAACCCAGTTGGTGGGTACGGCGCATCCACCTAGAGAAGTTGGAGATCCCTAATTCAGGACTAGTGTTGCACATGGACTCTACAATCCTGAGGAAACAAATAATGTATGAAACTATTGTTGATCACCGGCTATCATGAGACCTCATCTTCTAACGTTACTACACTGTCTTGCGTTAGGGGCGGCCAAACCAAAACGTGGCATCAGTGCTTGAAAACACTAACTTCTAGTCTGAGCCATATTGGTAGATGTAGACTATTTGGTTGGGGTCCGCGTGACTATCGTAACCAATGGTTGGACACTGGGTGACATGGCTCAGAATCGATCACAATGGCGTAGGTGTATACACTAACTGTCTTCCCTTAAACTAAGAGATTAAAATCACTTCATATCTCTCTTTCTACGAAGTAATTCTTTCTTCCTGTACTATACTTTTATATGCAATCTTTCTTCTATATATTACCACCATTGAAGTAACTACGTCTATGAACCCAGTGTTCATCTTGCTATGCTAATGCGGTATGGCAACTTGGACGGATGCATATATGTGCCTGGTCCTACGTTGTAGCTGACTGACTGACACTGTCTTGTGGATTAGATCATAGAATCAAGGGCTCGGAGAGTTCTTCCTCTACGTGAAGTACTTACTTCGGTTTTGGCACACGAACAGTATCCCAGACCTATCACAAACTCAATGATTTGTATTATGAGCATATATATTTTGGTGATTCTTTGAATAAGTTTTTATATGATTAAATAATTACATGAAAATAATGATGTCTTTTTTTCTTCCACTGCCCGGTTAAATCATTCGACTATAAACTTAATTTTGATTTTATCTATTGTAATATCTTAAATTTATTTATTATAATTACGTATTTTTATCATATTACAGTTCGAACAAATATTATGGTGTAATTTTGAAACATATTATCCAACAATTATACAGTGGCGTAAAAATGGTGAAATTATTCAAGATAGTGAATATTTTCGTATCACAAATAATTTTACTCCATTTTCCAATCAATCTAACCACTTCCAACAATATCATCATCAGCACCTCCAACAAAAACAGCAACAGATCACGACACAAATTAAAATACAAAGAATTTTACCGAATGATTCAGGTTATTTTCAATGTTTAGCAGAGAACAGGTAGTTTTTTATCAAAACCATTTTTATTAAATTCATACATTATTTACCTAAGAGGCATTGGTTTATCAGAGAACCATCTACTTTGTTTGCAGACTAGCGGTTTTGTTGCACTTTAATACTTCTACACAGAGTAGTGGTCGAGTGATTAGAGAAAGTCGGCTATTGTCCAGTTAACAGTGAGTAACAAAGACCTATTCACTTGGATATGGACAAGTTAATATTATCGGTATAGAGGGGATCTATAAAGATCGTAGAATTTCCATGGCTTAAAACACGAATAGATCTTAGCTAGACCACCGCTAAATACCTAAAGTACTGGACAGTCGTTTCATACTAGTATGAGACTCCTTAGCGGTGCGCATCAACCTCCCCGATACCGAGAATCACGCTCAAGACCTGCAATATTTTCCCTAGTTGTCATATACAAACAGTGCGATTAATGAGTTTACAAAACTAATCTGCTTAATTATCCGCCCCTATCTTAAATTCGGCTTGGTAATCTAGTAGTCTAACTTCGACCTAAATTCAACTGGAAGAGTAAAGATGAATTGTTTAATGAAGCAACTAACCTCGCCTGAGATGGTTGATACATGTGTTACTGTTGTAAAGTGTAATGATTTGATAAGTGAACGAGATATGTGATTGTTAAGGTGAATGAATAGCATATTATTCAACTTCGAAAATACTATTCAATAGTCTATATGAAGTGGGTATGTGATGGATGCACACAAATCATTCATTCTCTAAAAATAAGGGTCTATCTGTTAGACTTCCTTTGTGCGAACTAATTATTTCTTCATGTATATGCAATCTTTTATTACATTTTACTACCATTGAAATAACTGCTTCTATAAATTTTTTGTACTAATGAGGTATGGCAACTTAGACCGATGCATATATATGTCTAGTTTAGCGTCGTATCTGACTGACTGTTAGATTTCTCAGTCATATCACTTCTCTCCTGCTAGATAACGTGGAATTCTTCCTGTGGCAACATGATTGAAACAAAGTTCAAGACATTTCTCTATCATTGCCTGGTTTACATAGGGAGGGGATAAATCCTCCTGCTTTATAACAGTCACGTATCTTTAATCAGACTGAGCATATACTGATGATAATAACGCTTATTTATTCAGTCGTTTATCTTCTTTATCGAGATTTTGCATACCAATATCATTTCACTGAGATTTATTTTCCAAATCTCATTTTGTTTTCACAATCACTTCTTTGTTTTTATACATATAATAAAATCGCTCTTGCTGTGTTGCGACGCAGTAGTGGTGTGTCTCTGATAGATGTACATGGCTAGTGTCGGCTAAGCATTTATATTACCTAACTTTCACCACTAAGCCCTATTTTAGACTCCACTTCATCTACTTCGATTAAGGCAGAGTGTAGTTGGAAACCGCATACATAATTTTGTACTGACTACTTACTCATTTATTAACACGACAATCGCATGATTTTTATGGGGAGAAAATATTCCTTTCAGAGATTTAAAACAATTAGTTTATTTGATAAGCTTTATTAGTGTAATAATAAGACTAAAATTGTCAAAACTATATTATATATTAGTGTAATACATTTCGAACAGTCTGATTACACGTATACTTGTTAAGAACATTTATATATAAAAAATTAAAAGGTCAAATAGACAAATGGGAGGTAAGAGGAAACTAAGACAAGCAAATAATATTTTTTAAAAAAAGAACATGAAACGCCAGGGTGGATAATAAAACAATATTACCAGATTAGGGTAGGTCAAAGGTGAGAATAAGCTGTTTTTAGGTTGACAATTATTGCACGATTATTGTCATTGTTGAAACTCAATGATGAGAATTCTTCTGGGTGTGATTGAACAAATTTATAAATTAATGAAGTTAGACATTAACACCATTGGATGCCAGCTTAGTGGTCTAGAGGTTAAGCGTTTGGGTCGTGAGACCGAAGGTCCTGACTTCGGATCCTGCGTGCGGGATCGTGGATGCGCACTGTTGAGGAGTCCCATAATAGAAATTCAGTACTCCTAGGTTTTCATTGGTGGTCTAGCTTAGACGGACTGGTGAATCCACCTATTAAATCATTACTGTCTACTTTATGCCATGTAGTTTATTGTAAAGTAATTTATTCAACATATTAATGACATGATGCACCTCATAAATTTTTATTATTCATGCCTGAAATCATTTTTCAAATCGTCGAATTTATCTGTTAAACATATTTAAAGGGACATTAACAAATTCTATGTACATATTTGAATGTTTTTTTAGATATTAAACCTGAAATCGCTAAACGTTACAAAGATAGCCATTTTTACAAGTAATTAAAATATTGGTCATCTTAAGAGCTGAATCGAATAGGCTTAGGTTTCATATAAAATACATTTTTTAGGTTGATTAGACTGATAAATAACGAATAAGGTCAACTGTATCAATTGACATTTAGCTATACGAACGTTTAATTTGGATGCAACAAATAAAATCCAACATTTGTCTAGCTGAGCAATATGAAAACTATTAAAACTTTGTTTTTGAAGTTTGCATTATACTATTATTAAACAGATCAATGTTCATTAGATGATATCGACATGGAAAAAAGCCCCATAAAAATGGTCATATATGAGCTATAATTACATTATCATTATTGTTCACGATGGATTCATGTAACTTATTCACTAGGGCTTCATTAGGATTTATCAGTGTTAATTTAATTGACCTTTCCTATAAAAATAATTTTGTTGTACCGATGAATTGATCTCAGTACATTATTTATTTATTTATTTTAACACATAAGTATAGGTACAGGGAGGCACCAAATACATATGCGCCACACAAATCTCAATTGATTTGTGTGAGGGCTGTGATACTGCTCGGGTGCCCAAACCGAAGCAGGTGGTTTTCTTAGGGGGCCACACCCCGAGCCTTCGACCTGAACGTCTGATCCACAAGGCAGTGGAGCATCATGAGGAGATGCAGTCCCATGGTAGCCGGTGACCAACGATTGGTTCATACGCGATTCGTTCCCGCAGGATACTGGAGCCCATGTGCACCGTTGGTTTGGGGTCCGATTAAAGCGCCAGACATTCGCTTTTCGTCCTCTCATTTTTGTAAACAACACCCCCGCCGCGAGAAGGCAGTGAGTAGGACTTCCCTGGCAGAGGCTATATACGCATTGCCATGTGAGAGCATTTCGAGAGGGAGAGCGGACTCTCCCCACTCTCGGCCGTACCAGGGCATTTGGGGGCGATCTCAGTACATAGTACAGTAATTCAACGTTAATGATAACTGAAACCTATTCGTATTAAGCTTTAGTAAATACTTAAAGGTAAAAAGGTAAAACATTTTTATCAGTATTGACTGAATTGTATTACGTAGGAAAGGAGTTCACATGTGTTGATAAAGAGTATAATGATTATATCATTTCATTTATATTGAATATAACGGCATATGTTACGTCCTTTGCTATATAATTATTGCGAAATACGATTGCCAAATTTAGATACTCAGACTTATACGACCAAACTAATGACGCATACATCAATACGGGCAGCTTAAGTTCCGAATGGTCCTGCCTGTTAAGTCCAGAACGCCAATCCTATCCTCCGCGATAAAATCATGTATTTCAAACATGCTTGGTTTATATACGAGCAAAATGAGACCAGATCACATCATAAAATAGAAAATAACATTTGTACAAGATCAAGCCAAAAGTGGTAGCGATTATGAGAAACTGTGATTAATAGATCAGAATATTAAATATAACGGTAACAAATAGGTCAATTAAGAATACGCATATACGTAGTTTGGTCACTTGATAATACAGTATATATATAGTATTAGTCCATAAATAGATCCGAGCAGTTGTAATTCACTATTATCATCAGGATATAACACCATACACCAAGTTAATAGATATCACTTATCGATGAATACTAATACAAACTGACTTAAGCGCACACAAGGAAGATTTCGTAATTGTACAGCTGAAGGTTTTCTTATGTTTTCATAAATGAAGGCCTAGATTCTCCGTCAGTAAATGGAATATGAACGTGTTGTTTTATGTGTGATATGAAGTTCTGCTACGACCATGTCTTCCATTACATTTCAAATATCATTCCATACCTGAGAATATCACTTAAAAAACCCTTTTCATCCCGTCTAGTTCCATTAAATTCATTATAATTGATCAGTTATTTCTGGAAATTCATATAAAACATGATTATTTCTCGGCTGATCATCTTTTGTCCAAATTATTAATGTAAATAAAGTACAAGCTCTATGGTCTCAAAGGTTGTTACGGACACGGACAATCCATTCTTGAGTATGTTGTATCTGGTAACATTCCAGTCACTTGAAACATCAAGGAGAGCCATCTGAAATTACGAAAGGCCGATATACTGTCATTATTCGGTTCGCGATTCTCATTTCCATAAGAATCAGAAACCGTATGTTAAATTTGTATTATTAACAGAGCTTCTTGAATATTTTATTTAATAGGATTGATCGTATTTATACAAACGATTCTATTGATGACGAAGTGAGGTTGGACAAATTGTATGATACTAATATATCTTATAGTTCTGGTAATCTTCGTCTCTCGCTCTATGGAATAATGGCACATTCAATGTTTATGAATAAATAATGGTTGATATATGCATTAATCTTTCTCTCCCCTTCTCTACTTACACTATATATTCATTTTTCATTGCGTTTCAGATTTGGTTCTGTTCAACATGCAATTATGCTTCATGTTGTGCAATCTAATTCAAATGATTACATAAATGGTGTGTTAAGTTTTTTTAAAACTTCTGCTGTTCATTTTTATGGAAGCTAATTCCAGGTCTTCAACGGTGATCTAAAATTTATCGGTTCATGATCTCGGTTAACATTAAATGCACGGCCATTTTTTAGAGTGAAAATTTTTTTTCATCCCCATCTTCCAATAATTTTTATTCTGTTCCGTCCAATCAAATTGGTAGTTCTAAGTTCGTTATAATTGGCCGTTTAACGGAGGTGGAATTTGAAACAATGCGACCACTTTTGATATCTGGGACAGCAGCATTCAATATTGTGCACTTTGTTTTCCAATCTTATAGAAAGCGCATTAACGCTCAAGATGTTTTTAATATGTGCTAAAAAGTGTTCTCACAGGCCAACCTTCCCGATAAGCAATGTGCCTATTTAAATTGTAAACGTTAGGTGATTACTCCAAATTGAAAGCCCACATCATGTCTCTTGGTGGCCTCTGTGAATACAACTTAGATGAAAATAATTGTCTCTTGTATTTCTTCTTCACAACAGCAGATCAAATGAATTTATCAACCCGATTTTTCGATGTTGTTAGTTTTGATGGGACCTACAAAACCAATAAGGAAAATTTATATTTGTATCAGATTGTAGCACTTGATGTGAATTTCATGGCAATACCTGTTTGTATTGCATTTATAAGTTGCGAAGCATCGAGTTTACTTGCTCAATTCCTGTCATTCTTCCGCCGATCAACTAACAATCGAGAGGTGGTTGCCATTGTTACAGACGACTCACCTGCAATAGCTGCTGTTATTACGTAGGTGTATCCCAATTCCCACCACATTTTATGTCGCGTATACATAATTCGTAATGTGGTAAGGAGGGTAAGTTTTTTGTTGCTTGACATTAAGCCATTAACCGTCATTGTAGAGGCTAAGATCTGAAATCATACAACTATTCTTCCGTCTGATATTCACTAGAAATGTGGGAAGGTAAATAAAAATATGCATTACAGTCTTTTGTAGTTTCCATAGTTATCTTTCATTAATTGAAGCATCAGACGGAAATTTTTACCGATATGTGAGAGATCACTTAATACCTAAAAAGCACAAGTGGTCAAATGCTTTTCGACCCGCAGCGATGCTCTTAGGACAAAGTAATACTAATTTCGTTGAGACAACTCATCGGATTCTGAAATTGTATAAGCCGAACAGAAAAACACCCGTGTTGAGATCAATATTCAGTGTGCTTCGCACTGGATATTGGATGGATGCGCGAATCCAGAAGTACTATTCTGATTGTCATAATAAAACAATAATCGGTCGGGAGCCACTAATATGTTGTCTTCAGGAAAGACTTATACCAGCTGCATGTCAACTACTGAAGCGGCACTTGCGCACTCCTATCACTGAGGTCGTAATGTCGGTCGACTTGTCCACGGCTGTTGACTCTACAGGCACTTAAGCAGTCTCTAATAATCCACTCAATTGTTCATGTGGTTTTTACATTGAAAATCGAATGCCATGTCATCATATTTTAGCCTACTGCACACGCAGTAATACCGAAGTGAACACTCATTTAATTAGTGATAGATGGTTGTAATCGGACAGCGACATCACCAGCGTTGCGATTGACAATAACTTCCCTATCCAACTAGAACAGACAAGCGTAAGAAAATCGTTGTATGTCTTAGGCGTATGTTTGAATAGCAATGTACTACCGTGTATAACAGTGCATATGAAGTGGTTTACGGTAGGATACCTCCAGTGTCGTCCACCTTACCTGCAGTCATTGCTCAATGTTACATCCATATCGACGTTATGTTGATAGCTGGTAACTGCCTTCTGATGGATAAACGGCATTGTAACATTAGTGGAAGTAGAGGTCTCGATCTGAAACTTTGTAACTTCAGCATTTGACCACTTGTGCTTTTTAGGTATTAAGTGATCTCTCACATATCGGTAAAAATTTCCGTCTGATGCTTCAATTAATGAAAGATAACTATGGAAACTACAAAAGACTGTAATGCATATTTTTATTTACCTTCCCACATTTCTAGTGAATATCAGACGGAAGAATAGTTGTATGATTTCAGATCTTAGCCTCTACAATGACGGTTAATGGCTTAATGTCAAGCAACAAAAAACTTACCCTCCTTACCACATTACGAATTATGTATACGCGACATAAAATGTGGTGGGAATTGGGATACACCTACGTAATAACAGCAGCTATTGCAGGTGAGTCGTCTGTAACAATGGCAACCACCTCTCGATTGTTAGTTGATCGGCGGAAGAATGACAGGAATTGAGCAAGTAAACTCGATGCTTCGCAACTTATAAATGCAATACAAACAGGTATTGCCATGAAATTCACATCAAGTGCTACAATCTGATACAAATATAAATTTTCCTTATTGGTTTTGTAGGTCCCATCAAAACTAACAACATCGAAAAATCGGGTTGATAAATTCATTTGATCTGCTGTTGTGAAGAAGAAATACAAGAGACAATTATTTTCATCTAAGTTGTATTCACAGAGGCCACCAAGAGACATGATGTGGGCTTTCAATTTGGAGTAATCACCTAACGTTTACAATTTAAATAGGCACATTGCTTATCGGGAAGGTTGGCCTGTGAGAACACTTTTTAGCACATATTAAAAACATCTTGAGCGTTAATGCGCTTTCTATAAGATTGGAAAACAAAGTGCACAATATTGAATGCTGCTGTCCCAGATATCAAAAGTGGTCGCATTGTTTCAAATTCCACCTCCGTTAACCTGCGCATCCAAGAATTACTTTGGTACCTTAGGGAATCGCACTCATGATTGTGATGCACATTCCCGCGAACAACAGTCCAGTAACCTTCAATAAACTTACAAAAGATGAAGGCCTGACATTGAGTGTTCACCGAAGTCCCTTATGAAAAATTATAATAACACTAATCAAATTACCTCCTTCGTCCACTCGGCTGTTAGGAACCGCTAGGTGTTCTACGGCCATTTCTCCAACATACGAATCTAATATACGGCTTCCGATCTCTATGGAAATGAGAATCTCTCACCACATAATGACAGTACGTAGCTCTTTCATAAGTTCTAATTGCGCTCTTCAAAGCTTCAAGAGATTGGAACGCTACGAGATACAATGTGCTCAAGAATAGGTTATCGGTTTCTATGACAACGTGGGAAACGACAGAGCTCGTACTTTGCACGTTACTACAATCCACAATTAGGAGAAAATGTACTCTGTCGTCATGTCCTGACATTTTATATCGATTTTAAGAAATAAACGGCCAATTATAACGAACTTAGAACTAGCTATTTGATTGGTCGGAACAGAATGAAAATTATTGGAAGATGGGGATGAAAAAAAATTTTCACTCTAAAAAAATGGCCGTGCTTTTAATGTTACTCGCAAATCGAGATTTCGCTAATTTGTTGTGAAACTAGGTATTGAAAATGATTGGTCCATGAGCTGTGTAATTTTCGGGATTTGGCAACTCTTCGCTTTTGCTTGTACTATAGAGTAGAAGTAAACGTGAACAATCTCCTTCAAGGTATTTATGCCATATTGATTAGTACATAAGAATAGAATTATTATGTTGTTCATATCGTGAACCGACTTCAGTTAGACAACCAATGAAAACCAGGAAGTACGGAACAGCTGTTTTTTCCTAATGTGAGGACTCCTCAGAAATATGCTTACACAACTTCACCGGAGACCGGTCGCTCTGCGATCACTTTAGCTCTGGACCACTGAGCACGATATTCATTTATGCACATGTCTAACTTCAGTTAGTTCAGGGTATTAAGCTAATATCTTACACTGTCTTTTGTGGTTAACTAACCTCACATCCGACATTATTAAGCTCCCCATTATTAACTGATTACTACTTACACATAATGATAATCTTCTTAATATAATCTAATAAAGAAGGTTAAATTTCAATGTGGAATAAAATTCAACACTATCACATCTGTCTTCTTATCAATCAGTAGTTGACTGGTATAATCGGATCAGCGAGTTTGCCCAATACTAACCATGTGTCCTACATGGATCCATAAATGGGCAAAGGGATAATATTAGTTTAAATTTCATTTGGTCAAAATGACAGAGTAAGAGGAATTTCAAAGTTAATTTTTACCCTGAAATAGCATACTAAACACTTTTGGAAAAGACTAACCTATCCACATTAACAAGGTTGCAGTCTTAAAACTCAATGGGAAGATTCAAGCAAAACAATACCAAGTGAATTTAAATTCACCACATAGCACAAGCAAGTGGTTATTAGGACTCAGTAGCTGAGTGGATAATGCGATGGCGTTTGAAGCGAATGGTACTGAGTTCGAGTTCCAGAGTGAACATCAACTCTGAGATGTAGGTAAATCTAGTTGACGAGTCCCAAATAAGACGTAACGCACATTAAACTGGATCCCACTATTAGCCACTAGCCGTCTTTGCTTATAAAGTTTGTGAATTTAAACAATATCGAGACAAGACGCACAGTATGCACATATGCCAATAACAGTCTGATCAGTTGCAGCCTTAAACTTCTTGGGAAGATTCAAACAAAGAATATTAAGTGGACTATTCCCCTTTGATGTGATTTTTTGTGATAATCATTAGTAAATCATAAGAGCAAGTTGAGCTCCGGTAGACTTTAAACTTAGTAACTCAACTATATTTTTATAATTGTGACCAACAGGGAGATTCAAGACTTGCGATTTCTTTTAAGTATTCGTCAGCTGGATATATAGGTAGGTACATTAGTATCTTAGTGTTGATGTTCAAATCAAGACTTTATTGTGATGCTTATGTGATTTTAAGATGGTGAAGAAGATTTATACATCAGGTGAATGATTTGGGTAAAGTTTCATTTTCTGAGCTGAGTAGTTTTATCGTGGAGCATCCTTTTTTCTTTCTAAACAACATAATCACAACAAACTTCAGGTAGAAGTAAGGTATTAAATTTTATCCATATATGTCTAACAAGCTAAAGTTTGTCCTGATAATGTCATTCAAAAGAACAATCGATGCTTCACGATTAAACCATTCAGCTCGATAAATGGAACTTCACTAAACACTTTAGAATCAGCTCCTATCCATCTTATGTTTAAGAATCAAGATTCTGAATTTAATAGTTTATTAACAGCTGTGTTGACCACTGATTAGTGACCGATGTCATGTTTATCTATTTCTTTATCAGAAATCGGATTCTGTCGGTCGAGTTGCAATGTAGTCACTAGTCTAAATGACTTGAGATAGTATGCACTGGAATAAGGTGTTAGGTGAATGGACATAGTCTTTAAAGAAACTGTGGACCTATATTTTGTATTATTGCTCACCTGTCATCAAGACATACCTTTAGTCGTGAGAGAATTAATACTCCCTGTGTGACTGGGACGCTTTCCATTCAGTTTCAAAGTCTTAGACATTACTCCTGAGGTATTTGAGCGATGACTGACGTTTTGTATGGTAGAAATGTATTTATAATTGACTGACCACGCAGTAGTAACCAATACTTTGTCTATTATTAGAATTACTATTATTACTAGTACCATTACCAACTAATAAACTTTTCATTAAACTTTTGTTGTTTATTTTCTTGAAATATCATTTGTTTTTCAGATGGAGTTGACTATAACAATAATAATAATGTATATATGTTTATACCTACAAATGTCGAAGTGTGGAACATTAGTGATACACATGCTTACGTTATGTGGGATGAACCACAATGGTATCTGTCAAAACCATTCATGTATTTTATACAAATTGAATCAGATGATGCACCAGGGTAATGAATGAACTCTATTACTGTTGACTATATGTATATATATTTTCTTTGAAAATGTATAATATTGTTATTGCGACGAATAGTGCTATTATATAAAGTTTTATTATTATCATCAATATATTTTTATATTCTCCCATATCTAAGCTTTTCAACTTTTAAATTGTTATCATATTTTTTTAATATTGCGGACTTATCATTAAATTAATCATTCCCCTATTACTCTGGTTTTGTATCACTTATGACTAAGTTATGTACGCATTGTAATACCTTAGTTGTGTTGCTGTGGGCTCAAATCATAAATGAATTGAGAATAATAATAGAGAACTTTTCTATTTCCTGTCTTCGTCTTCTGAATGGTCACTGTGTTAGACGGAGCTCGAGGATGAATATGTGTTAATGTCGTGGTCGTTTTTATTAGTTGGTATGTCGTTTGATACATAAAAGGTTATCAGTCTTATAAGGAATATAGCTGAGCATATCAATAATCGGACTTTGAAGAGAGAGAGAGAGGAATCATACAACAACTGCTTTCCTATCATTACGGCACGATCACATGGGACCTTATACAATTCAACTAAGATATCTATTTTTCTCATCGAAATAACAAGTATGATAATTTACTGCGTACTAATTGTTTTCCACGTATCATAGTATTGTGTTTTCTGACCTAGATAACTTAATTGTTGAGCTTTAATTGTCACTTTGAACCTCATATTAAAGTAGACGATTACGATATTGTTTAGACAGACGATAAAAACTTTGCAATTATAAACTATCTCGTTTAGAGAAATATAACATTCTGAGAAAGCATCCACTATTGATTGGCAACTCTTCTTCCTTTCGTGTAACACTATCATTATAGAGAAGCTTTGACTACCATACTAATTGTGATTTTATCCGGACGAAATTCACATTATTCACCCAGTAAATAAGACTTGTTAAAGTACATTCAGATTTCAGCTAGATGTACAAGCGAGGCTAAGTTATAGATAATCAGATCAGATTTAACATACCAGGTCTTGGATTTGGGCGCGAAATTAATTCATCCATATGGCTAAATCGCATTTTGGCATTATAGATGATGTTAGTTCGTGATGAAAAACCTAACTGGAATTCCTAATCCCGAAGTCCAACTGTATACCCTAATCTTAATTCCTCAGAATAATTTATAACCCTCACTTAACCCTGATAATTAGGTGGACGTTCTCAAGTCATTCATAAATTATTCCCATTGATACATACATCACATTCAAATCTCGGCTCCTACCCTGCTTCGTTTTCGGCGGCTTGGTATATTGTATGGACAGTCTTCATGCCAAAACTATGTGACTTGGTTAACGAATAGTTTTATTTTTCCAGAACAAGAGTTATTTACTTTGATAGCATCGAATAACATGACCGATTTGTGTAATGTTTGATATAAATATTTATTATTGATTTAAAGTTGTATGTAGATGATTTCATGAATGCAGCTTCTATGTGCCGTATTCAGTATGATCACTCACTGATAGCGTGTTTAAATTACGAGCTCGCTTACAACTATCAAACTAATGGTTTTCTCTTCAATGATAACTTAACACCTTGAATTTTGATCCACACACCTCATCTTCTCAATTGGACAATCGGAGCACAAAGACAACAAACGGGTTTCCTTTCTGTTATTATGTTGTTATCATGACTCAAAAACTAAAGAATATATACTTCGATTGTATGGCCACAACCTATAACATATAAGAAATCAGATTTTGTATATAATAATAGTAATATAACTGAGCAATAGGTCCATTATTAAATTGGTGAGAATTTAGAAACGACAAAACACATAATAACAGTTAATTAATGAAATGAAAGCTTACAATAAGAGTAATGTAAAATTACCATAAACTAAATATCTAATAGACACAATACAAATAAGTTAGATAATACTTGAAGTACACTGTGTATTGTGTATATGTGACAATTTTAACTATTGTAGTATATCAATGGATGTGAACTTTTTTTCTCTTCTCTGTTAATTCTGATGACTATTGACGTTAAAAACTACACGTACATCTTGATCAGATTGTCTCGATTTATTATCTTTAATAGAATTTGTAATGAAAGTCAATAGATCAAGACAATCTTCATAGGATATACATGTGGTTCACGCTAATAAAAGCGCAAGCAAATGGGCGCATATTGATAAAATGGATCAGCGAAAAAGAGAATATAAATTTCAACGGTGTGAAATATGTTCTTTTTACCATCTGTTCTTTTGCCTTACGACCAATCAAAAACGTATTTTCCTAAACATATAACGAAGAGTCTACTTTCAACAAATACTGATAAATACTGTAATGTCTCGAATTTTGTAACAAATTATCATTGTTATTACCCTAGTCATGTTATCTCGCACGTCTATTTCGAACAGCTAGGTTATAATCTATTAAAAGGAATGCTTGTGTGTGTTGGATTCCTAATATATTAAGAGCTTGTCAGACAATTTCGGTTGACCGAAAATGTAAAGGTCATGGACTTGATTATGATTAGGTAATGCAGTGAAAATACATTGATGTATGAAATAACTTTGTACCTATTTATTTCAAAATAAAACATTTGATTAAATTTCTAAATGAAACAATTGTGTATAAGGTCCAATACAAACAAACATCCTTTTTAATAGATTATATCCTAGCTCTCCGAAATAGACGTGCGAGATAACATGACTAGGGTAATAACAATGACAATTTGTTACAAAATTCGAGACATTACAGTATTTGTTGAAAGCAGACTCTTCGTCATACTTTTAGTGGTTGGATTCATGAGCCTAGTTAAGCTAGACCACCATTGAAAACCTAGAAGCAATGGACGGCCATTTCGTCCTAGTATTGGGTTGATTGAATTGATTTTCATCTACACTACAAATCATCTCGAAATGATGTAGGAAATTTGTAGCTCAGTTGGATGCTCTGGGCAGTATTGACTTTTTGGAGCTAAATGGTTTAATTTCTGGGGGCTTTCATTGTTCTTCTAGACATTATATTCATCTCCTACTTCACTTATATGCTGCACTACAAATCTTTTCCATTTTATACTTCCTGTACGATTAATTAATGACTTGTGAAGGCTTTGATAAACAATTTCATTTAGTTTATTGACTTCATTTGATTACTAAATATTGCTTACATTATTCTTCTTTTCTTTACAGTCATCTCACTGTGAATACTACAAAATCAGTTATTCTGCTCGCCGATCTTCAACCGGAAACTAAGTATACGCTAAAAATATTTCCAGCTTTAACAAAAGATTTCAGTCAACAGCGATCTAATAACAACGATAATTTTGCATCGGTTCGCTTTACTACAAAGCCATTGAGTATGCTACCCTATCTATTTTATCTATGTGATAAGTGAATCTTTTTTTAGTAAAAGGACTATACCCATTAAGACATTAAATAAGAAAGATTAGTTCAGCGAAGAATTCTCTTTTGGGCGAATTTATTTTCAAAGCTGTACAATCGCAAATATATATACCTGTTTTTTCTTCAGGATGATAATAATTATAATATTACTGATAATAAACTTCTGTTAAGCATAGTGACAGTGATGTTAAATGAACAAAGGTGTTAAAAAATCGTTTGATTGTTAATGGCTTAAGTATTCATAAAAAAATAGATAGGGAAGGTATCGAGATGGTGGAGAAGATTGGTAGCTCAGGTGGATGATTTTGATGGAATTTTGTTCTCTGAGCTGGAAGTTTGTGCTGATGATGTCGTTCAGAAGAATGATGAAAGCTCCACGACCAAACCATCCAGCTCAGAGAGCAAAACTCCATCAAAAGAGAAAGTATCATTGGGAAAGGATAGCTCAGCATGATAAGATAAAATGTTGGAATTGAGATTAAATGTAATCAGAATGATCGTGGAAACAAAATTAACCAGTTAGGGGTAAAGGATTTAATAATTACAGTAGAAAAGAAAACATTATACATGAACATCGACTTTAAGAGTGACAGAGCCATACACATCTTAAAGAGAAAAATTATACAGTTCTTGTTATTGATATCTTTTATTCGTCCAAAGCCTTGTGTGTATTATTGTATTTCTGTTTTATTTTCTATTTTTATTTTTGAAGTTCATCGTCCTCCTGCTGTAAAAGATATATCTGCTGTGTCGTGGAACTATGGCACACTGACTATTTCATGGAAGACTCCATTGTCTGATGGTGCTGAGAATGATCGAATTGCTTCCTACCAGTACGTTCTTATTTGTAATATACATATAAAGGTTGGGGACTCTTCGAGATCAAAGGTTCTGGGCCCAGTCCGCATTGAGGTAGTGAATGCGCACTGTCTCTAAAGCAAAACAGCTCTCTTGTATTTCCTTTTTTTTAGATGGTTGTCTGGCAAAGGTCATTCAGTTAAGTAACCTATTCAACTATCTCTATAGACTTTCATATACTAATAACAAGCAGGTTCTTTAATAGTGACTAACTTTGACAGGTATTTTCAGGAGTTCTAGCGAAGAGCCAGTGCAGCAAAAGCATGTCAGGTATGAGACAGTTATCCACCACAGGTACTTAGAGATGGTTGCGCAATATCATGGATTAATTGAAGTTAGATATATACACCGCTGAATGCTGGCTCAGTAGTGTAAAGGTTAAACGTTTGTTGTGAGACCTGAGGGTCCTAGGTTCGATCCCTTGAGCTGGGAAATCCCACACTAAGACGAACTACCTGTTCAGTGCTTCCTGGTCTTCAATGATTATCTAACGAAGATCAGTCTGTAGCGTAAACTTTGAAAATCTATATTTCTATTATGATATTATGAAAATATTCATATAGGAGTAGTATTACAGATAACAAATAAATTATTGTATTATTATAACTTGTACTATTACTTAAAATGAGAATGTAATGTAAAGTTGTCATTGAATAGCTTAAACATTCTTTTTGTAACTACGTAACGCTGAAACAGCGGTCACATTACAACTTAGTCGATAGGACTCAATCATCACTACCAAAGGCTAAATAAATGTCAACGGTGGTCACTATTCAATGATAAATCAAAGTATTTGGTACCTAGATTTTTCAGAAGCGGTGGCTTAGTTGCTGAGTTGTTCACTTTTCAACCACTAGGTCATAGGTTTCAATCTCTCCATGTATTTCAGCTCGAGAAAACCGGTTGTATCACAAACCTCTCACACTAAAATGTGGCTCAAAGCCTATTCACGCAAGTTCATCTACTCAGATTGATGCCAATATGTTCACCATAAAGCTTTGTAACACTGT